CCTATTCCTTCTTTATATTTCACCAGTTACATCCTATATGTATCATCAGTAGGATTACACAACAATCTCCAAACATCTGAGATAGGACAAAAAAATTAATGGAGTATATTTTAACCTACTCGATTAATCGCGGTATCATCAATTGGATTACACTAAACTGAACGGCTAACCATTTATCTCATATAGGCCAATCATGTTTATACAGAAAATCTAATAAACTTGGACTTTGGCTTAGCAATTTTGTATCTCTTGTCCATTATCTTCAATATAATTTATTTATTAGAAATTTAGAATTGAAGATCCCTTGTCTTATGAAAATTAATTCAACACGAGAAACCTTTATATTAGGGGGCAACATTATATATAATCAAAGAAAATCAAAGGAATAAATTCTCTTACAATATGAATCTACCAACTCTTTCATAACAACCCTTTTTTTTTTAGTTTTAGATTAAGGAAAAGTAAAGATTCTTACTTACCCTACACAGCAAAATTTTCTCCATGAAGCTAAATAACCTCCAAAGTAACCTCCAACACAAACCTATAGTTAACTTGAATCACAAGTAACCCCCACCCCCTCGAAATCCACAATATATACACTTAGGTTTAATAAATCGAGAACAACCAAAATGGAGATCCAAACATTTCCCAACGAAATCGTCTTTTTCGATCTAGAAACAACCGTACCAAACAAACCAGGACAGCATTTTCACATCCTAGAGTTCGGTGCGATCATCGTATGTCCAAGAAAACTAGAGGAGCTCTCAAGCTACACAACGCTTATACAACCCAAAGACTTGTCGGTGGTCTCATTAAGATCGTCTAGGTCAGATGGGATCACGAGGGCTAAGGTTACGGACGCACCGAGTTTCGAAGATGTGGCTGAGAAGATATATGGTTTGTTGAATGGTCGGATTTGGGCAGGTCATAACATTCGAAGATTCGATTGCGTTAGGATCAAAGAAGCTTTCGCTGAAATTGGTAAAGCTGCACCTGAACCTTCAGGGATCATTGATTCTTTAGGGTTATTAAGCGACAAGTTTGGCAAAAGAGCTGGTAACATGA